CGCTAAGAGGTTCTCATTTCAAGCTGGTCACGCAGTACAGCCGACTGGAATGTCGGCGAAACTATTTCTCCCTTCGAGTGTCACAGCCTTGGAACGCCCTCCCGAAACATGCAATTAATGCACCCACTCTATCCCTTTTCAAAAAACGCCTTGACGATACTATGTCACATTTGCACTAAGTTCTATAACCCATGACTACCAGATGCTGGCACTAATGCACAACAGACAGTGGATAGTGCCATAACCCTACTCGAGAATGAGTCACTCTGAACCCCTTGCACGAAATTTGATAAACGCTACTACTATAGAAACTAGACTTCTATATCCCGTCAACCTAAGATGGTTGCACACGAGTAAGCGTTGTCCTTGTTATTTTTTGTTTTTCTCGCCTATTACATGATCAATAACCACTCCCCTTATTGCTTTGTGTGCGTACATTCTCATTTCAAACTCCCTTTATACGGCAGTCCAGTTAAATCTGTAATCGCCCGAACCGACGATCCTATTATCCCTTGATCTATCTTTTCTCATTCTAACCACCCTACGGGACAAGTCAAGTTTCTGCTTTTTTACCCGTTATAAATCATTGCTCATTGTTCATATCATGGGTCAAATGGAGAGTGTAACTGAGGTTTTGTTTCTATCTTTCAGCAGCTTGGTAATTTAGTGTTGTTCATTATTGACATTGCGCGAGCACATGCTTCAGTCATGCCCCTGTGTTGAGACGACCTTTTACCGCTGTAAAACAAGGGAATAGTCTTTCGCTTTCAGACAGCAGTTGGTAAGCAAGGTGAGTTTATGCGCATTTATCTTCGATGGAAATTGATTTTGGTTTAAGGGGAAAATGTCGATCACTGATTACTGGATGGAAGCTAAAAGAAGAGTTGCATCTAATATGCCTTAGGTATACCGAGCAATTGTGTTGGTGATCATTGCAGATATTGCATATCGGTAAATTGCTTGTCAAAGAAATTTTTTTGGATTCCGACACCAAGTTTGCTTCGACTAAGTGCGGTGGCAAGTTGTTGCATATATTTATCGCTTACTGTTCGAAGCAGAGTTGGCGAATGACCCGCTTCAAATCCGGTACTATAAGCTTCTACCGGTGTTCCCGTGTGTTGCTTGCTGTGCGCATATGGAGCAGCGGTCACAACATTGGGTAATCACCAAGATGTAATATCCGGTGCGTAATGATGAGGTCAACCGACACTTGACGATAAGACAAGCAATCAAATCCTATCTTCTTGCGCCGGTCTTCGTACGGCACACTACATAAAGTAGGGATGAGTCTGGTGGCCACATATTGTACTCGCTCAATCCTTTGTAACTCGCCCCGGGTGATAGTAAGCAGGTGAGCCATACTCTAGCCCTGGTCGGATGATTGAGATGAAGAGAGTGGCGCTCTCTTCAGGACAATTGCAGAAGTTGCGTTCGAGTACCCAAAGCATGCGAAGTCCGTTTTGGTAGAACCTGTTCGTGTTGTCCACGGACCTTGAGTAGCAGCGCGAGAGTACGCCGAGATCTTTCACGAAAGAGGTAGGATGCCACCGTTGACTGGCCACAGTGTAGTTTCGATCGCGTGCACCCATACCCAGGCTCATGAATATCGCTTGACCGGGTTTATCGGGAGGTTGACCTCCTCAGACCACATGGAAAGGTAGCCAGGATCATGCTGAAGCAGGTCAGTCACCGAACGCACAGAGTACTCTGCACACCCGTAAGTCATCTGTAAACAACGCGTAACGCAAATAGAGAAGCTGAGACATATCGTTCATATGGATCAGGAACAAAATGGCCTCAGTACAGTGCCTTGGGGCACGCCACTGGTCGGGGGTTACCGGTCGATCAGATAGTTGTCGACCTGGACAGTCTACATTCGACCAACAAAGAAAATCCTGATCCATTAGTACAGTGAGCCCCCAACATCGCACAGCCGCAGTTAGTGGAGGATCCCGTGATTCACTTTGTCAAACGCTTTACTGGAGTTAAGGTGAATGACGTCAACCGACTCCCCCTGGTTCCGTGTATGCAACCATTCGTGCCTCGTCACGAGCAGATTGGTAATGTATGAGCGACCTATCAAGAAACCATGCTGTGCTGGCGTAAAGAGGCATTTCGACTCGTGAAGCCATAGAAGACACTTCATTCTAATCTTTTCGTGTTTTAGCCAAAACAGCGATCAAAACGATCGGCCGGTAGTTTTCCACTTCGCTCGGGTCACCGCCTTTCGGTATTGGCCTTACGACTGCGCACTTCCAGTCGCTCATTAATAAACTTGTGGACAGCGACCTGTTGGACAGCTCAATCACGGAAGGCGAGCTGATGGCCGTTAATGACTTGAGGATCGGTGGGTTGATTACATCAGGCTTGGCAGACTTGGTTCGGACAAAGCTGGCCAGCAGCTTGTGTACATCCTAAATGCTGCAATCCAGACCGTCTAGTACGGCAGGGTCGGTATCCGTCGAACTCGGAACAGACACCCGGTCACTTGAAAATACGGAAGCGGAATGTGCCGCAATGCCGACGCACAATCCTTGCACGAGGTCAGGAGCCGTTCATCCGAGTCCTCCAACACTTAAATATTGCCTACAGACCACAGGCATCGCTTCTTGTATGCAAAGACCGTCTTGGGAACCGTTTTTGCTTCTGCTGCAAGCTGTCTATCGAAGCTCCGGCTCTTTGGTATTTTCGCGTTGTTGAAGAGATTTCGCCCTCCCTTGTAAGCCTCGGAATCATCGTCAGAGCAAGACACGAATTTGTTTCACAGTTTGTGTCGCCGTAGAGCTTCCTTGCTATACTCTTTGTCGAACCAATGTGGCTTGATTGATCCAACTTTCCGATATTTGAGGGGTACAAATCGGGAGTACAACGATTTTATTCCCTTTTCTAATAGACTAGAGGCTTCAACAGATGAATCTTTTGGTAATAACCAGTCCATCTGTCTCGCAGCTCGTGTGATGCTATTAGGGTCCGTCCACCAATAGTCGAATGCTGGATTCAGTTGAAGGGAATACGAGAGCGGCAGCTCCACGCTGGCTATGCTCATCGAGTGATCACTCAAGCCCAGGAGCTAAAGAACCGGGATGTCACGCACACGTCGCTCACGGCTAGTCGATAGCAGGTCTGTGCACGAAGAAGTTGATTACACGGTTATGCGCGTCGGATGGTTGATGTACCGTTTGGTTCCAGTTTCAAATATCATCTCCGTGAACTTCCTCCAGACTTCACAATGGCTTGGAAGAAGTCCGACCTCAGGTCACTGTATTCGAGGTAAGTTGAAACCCCCCACGAGCAGTAAGTGTGGACGACTAATGTGGTTGCGGATATGTGAACCAGTCCGAGTAGCGGTCCAATTGACTGCGACAGACCATGCCCACTAGCACCTCGCTGCCTCCGAGACGAACCGAAGACCATAACTGCTCACATAGACCATCGGCGCTTTGACAGGTGCTCACAAGTCCCCCTTATGTATAGCAGTGCGCCACCGCGGTCATTTGGTGGTCTATCACAGCAGAACTAGGAGTGGATGTTGATTACTACCTCTTGGGAGGTTACGTCGGAATTAAACCATGTTTCAGCAACGCCTAATATGTTCTGCTGTCGAGAAGTTAGGAATCAGCATAGCTCGTTACCGTTGTTCGACAGACTGCAAAGATTAGTAAACGCCACACCCAAGATGCGGTAGGAACTGCGGGGCTCAGTTGAAGCATCAGCAACCGCTTGATCCGGATTCGCGGAGGAAACCGTGAAACTACCTGAAACTTTAATATGCGGAGATTTGTTTCTCCACCGTTCATGCACAACTTTAATTCACTCATCGCAGACTTAAATTTCTCTCTGTCTGCCGGATGTAGGTCAGCACGCAGGTGAATTTTTGAACCTCTCAGTCTAGTGAAACGAAATAATATCAACTTCGGGCTTGCTTCAGAAATGTCCCCCTCATAGGTCGAAATGTATTCTCGATGTGCTTTCTGATAGGGCGGTTTGTCCCACTTTCAGCGCACCCTCGTCTACGTCGAGGATTCTATCAATCAGGCTTTGTAAAAGATTGATCTCGTGTTTGTAGCGCACCCGAGGACTGGACTCAGGGGATTCATGTGCGTGAAAGATCATAAGGTTGCGGAACAACGGTTCTTAGACAGATTTTAATGTTTTGCAGAACTCGTCAGCAGCCGCTTGCAGATCTATCAGGAAGAAAGTAACTTTTCGTCAAGATCTCAGAGGAGTAGATAACTAAACCCAGTGTGCAGCACTGCGTGGTCTATATAAGATTAGTGCTTGCTTCAGAGTGGGTTGGCTAGAGATGGAAATCCAGCTAGTTACTGCGACTCTATAGACAGCAGTATCGGCCGACGGATATGTTTGAGAGTTAATTCAGAGCATATTACATTTTTTCTGCCTCAACGATGATCAGTATGGAATTAACGCTTGTCATACCTATCAAAGAGAGACAGAGAAGTTGTCTTTTATATTTTCAAAGGTTCTCCAACATTACATGCATGGGGAATAGCATAGATGCATTTGTCTGCCTTTGAGCACGTTTTGATCAGCCGCCACTTGGAGTTCAGTTACAAGTCCGTTACTAAATTCTACTGGTGGCTGTATTGAGGAGGGTAATGGTCAAATGAGGTGATCAGCACCTGTAGAAGACACGGGTGATCTTTACTTTTTCTACTACATGCAACAGGCATTCATTTGTTGCCTAATTCCAAACATTCCATGGCAGTTGTTTGAATGCTCAGTCGGCTGGTGGTGAAGGCATTTTTCACGATCCTGTACGCCTTTGAAACCTCGAGGTAATTCTGAGAGCAATGTGACCAATAATTTCCATGACTATCATTGCATATTGTGCAGTTACTGCAGACAGTCCTTCCAAAAATTCACAAATATGCCGCTATTGCGATGGCAGTCATTCTCATAAGATACTTTTACTGCCCCGTTGAATTTTGAACCGCAGAAACGCCGAATCTAATAACAACATTACTTTGTCCATACTTCAGGTTTTCGAAACGGAACTTGAGGCAGCGTATCTGGGAGAACTGACGCGATGTCTTCTAGGCCCAGTCGATGTGAGATCACTGACACCAGAGGAGCGGGACGGCCCTATGTGTGTTGGAGTTACGGTGTGGGATCCGATCGCAGGTCGACCATTCTACTTTCAGGCACACACGTAAGTAACGCACAAGTAGGGGCAAGGTGATTTGAGTTGCCCCAAGTTTTCTCACTGCACGCATTGACGGGTCCTGTAAATTCCTTCATGAGTTCTATTATTTACTATGCGCCAAGGGAACGATTTCCGTGTGAAGACTAGCTAGATTCGACGCTAATCCACGCAGTATCTTAAGAGCCGTGACCCGCATCAACGTATCTGTGCCGCACACTTTCTGCGATGACTGTATCGCGACGTTGATGCACACTCTTCCTCGGATGCAGTGAATAAGGGCAGGTTGTTTCTCTGCGTACACTTACTTGATAACTCAAATGTGAAAAATAGCGAAGGATGGGCAATATAAGTGTACTTCAGAAGATTTCAGAAGGCCGCTAGCCAAAAGAATTACGATCTTGCCTTGTGATCCGGAGGTCACTGGTTCGTATTCGTGTAGGCGTGGAATACCCAGCCCACGCGCCTGATGGTGGTCGCGTAACAACGAAGCGTCGATACGATGTACCAACGTGATGCTCGTGTTTTTCTTTCCCCCATATCTCTCAATGTTTACGATCAATTTGAAGAAGCCGGGTGCAGTGGATACTATCCGGATTTAACCGGTCGTTCCATTACAGCCAGTAACAAGGAGCATACAACCTTCTTTCACAAGCTGTCCATCCACTGCTGCATGAATATAGTGTCCCGATTGTGGACAGCTGTCTAACTACTTGAGTTCAGTCGGGCTACCTTACAACGAGTAGCTTGGGGTCCAGTAGCTAACGCACATTCAACGGTTGTTTCCACTGTTTACAGAACCCGTCCAATAAATGTGTGCGTCTCGGTTTTCGGTTCGTTCAGTATACTCCTGGATAATAATAATAACAAAAAATAAATCGCCAGCTGTATGCCGCAATGGAAGGCGCGCGCGGGCTGGGTATACCGTGAGGACATCCACCCCTACGCGGTGACCTTATGGTTGGAAACCACGCGCGCAGATCACTCGGCCACCGGCCGATCGGAGACCAACGGTCACCTCAAACTCACTATTGTGGTTGTGGTTAGCTCAGCTCATCCGGAAGACTATGTAACCGGAACTGTTGAACACGTCGAAATAGTATACTACGGAAGATGAAACAAGTAAGCAACAGAAATACAAAGTTTACCTACTCGATCGTACTACTATTAGGTGAGTGACATTCGTGTACAACCGATACAGTCACTAAGCGAGACCTATATTCATGGAAAGGTTTCCTTACTCAGGCTGAGTAAAAGTCGTTCGGATCAAACTTTTCCAAATTGGTGCCTGTCATATGTTATCGGTAACTCTAATATACCGGGTAAACCACAGTCGAAACAAAAGAAGGATAGGTCACCGTTTTACCATATAGAGCATGACCGTGCCGTAATGCAACAAGACATAACACCATCTAAAATAACAAGTGAGAGTTTTTAATGCAATCACTAAACTGTTCACTGTAATCAGCCCCAGCCAGACATTTGCTGTATATTCGAAATGGCACAAGCTGCCATTTCACCCTACTGGAAACTCATCAGTAATGCGTATCCGGAGGCTCCAAAAGGAATCGAAATAATGCCCCGTCGGTATTCGCGGTTCATGCCACTGTCTGATGCAGATTAAAGTGGACCATCAGTCGTATTCAACTACAATGCGCCCACATTTACTGATATGTATGTTTCGTGGTGGTCAGTGATGTTTCCGTTCAGGTCAGTGACGAAACTCCAAAGCGTCTATTCTTTCTGCTTTTTTCAAAGGCACTTCTTAAAAAGTAAAAACCAGAGGTTTCCCACAGAGCGGTGTGTGAATAAATGGTATTAGCGACTGAGTATTCCGTCGTTTTTTTCTCTATTTAGGTGGCTCAGGAGTGAACGTACAGGACAAATTCACGAACTTCACCTCAACGTCAACTGTAAGTTGTGTCCTTTTCGGTGGGTACAGTAGCCATACGTTCAAGCACCAAGCTGTGCTAAATCCAGTCATTGTGAATCATACTGCAGTGATAAGAAAAAAACAAGGAGATTGCAACAAAAAGAAACCAAAGTCATGCGAAAAGATTCACGCACAAAATTGTCGTATCATGGATTGAATTGCACAGCTGTAAGCATGTCAGATGGGTATGAAAATTATCGCACTGTACTCCAATGACGACAAAAACGGCACGAGGATACCAGGTTCAATCAACATTGACACAGTAGTCGGCATACATTGCGCCATTTAATCAGCTGCACACGTACCAAACGATAAGTCTTGTGATGCCTGCGGGGATCGGACTGAGGTATTTGATCCACGCAGTGAGACGATCATAGTTAAAGCATTTGAAATGCGACGTAAATGAACGGGCTGCACTGATCAAGAATGTGTCAGACACAATAAACGTAACAGTTTTGAGCTGTTCTTCGAGCTAAGTGATTAATGTGCAACGATTCGTTGTCTGACGAAGCAACATCAGTGCGGTTTCAGGGGCCTGGTTCGCAGTGCCTCATAAGTGACTTCGATGTCCAAGTGCTTATTGACCGAGTTCTGCTTTGAATGCCAGGGTTCAATGAACTCAAGTGCTTGCCGGCTTTTAGCCCTTCCGAGGATGCTGGCATGCTCTAGGTCGAATTGATGGTTCTCGGCATCCATATGCACCGACATCAAGGAGTTCAGATCGTGGCGACGAATGGCTAGGCTGTGTTCGTGTAGCCTTGTGCCAAGCTTTCTTCCAGTCTGTCCCAAGTAGTATTTGTCGCAGTTCCGGCAGCAGATCTTATAAATCACACCAGTTTCTTACTCTTTGCTAAGTTTATCTTTCACTTTGAAGATTTTACTGCGAATTGGCTCCGTTGGCTGATGTGCAACTTTGAATCCAAAAGGCAATAAAAGCCCCGCTGCCATTTCAGATTCCGTTGATATGGGGCAGAGTTTTTCTCTTTTCAACTGTTGCATTTGTCGAGGTGTGTTGAGCAGCCTTTTGGGTAAGATTTTCCCTTGAGCAGATTGAAGAGATGGTCTTCCTTTGCCCGTCTCAGCTGCGGTGTGCTACAATGGGTTTGTGCTTGTTTGAAAAGGGTTCACACGCAGCTGAGTTTGTGGTCTGCCGGATGATTGCTGCCGTAGTTGAGGATCTGGTCCGTATGCGAAAATTTGTGGTAGAGTGTTTTTCCAATCTTTCAGCATAAGTCCGTCGTATGAGAACGTCTAAGAATGGTAACTGCTCGTTGTTCTCCTCCTCAGTGGAAGCTATCGCAGACTACGAGGTGACCTGATTATGGCCTACCTGATTCTGCGAGACCCACATCATGTGTGCCGCCCTTTACTGCAACTCAGCAGCAATACAAACCTGAGGGGCCACTCATTAAAACTCGTAGAAAAATACAGTCGTCTGGAGTGCCGCAGAAATTTCTTTTCCATTCGTGTCTGTCACCCGTGGAATGCTCTCCCAGAATCGGTCGTCTCTGCACCGACACTAACAGTATTTAAAAGATGGTTGGATGATGCACTCATCCACTTACACTTTGTCACTTAACACTACGTCTCCATCCTACACCTGAAGTATACCATGGAATTATTTGTTGTTAACTGTGGGTGCTGTGAATCTAAGAGGATCGCAGGACTACAGCGGAGCAAACGATAAGTCCTCATTTTCATATTTCAATTATTAACTATTTTACTATCCTCATCATCATTATTGTTATGTTGATATCCCCACCAACTATCCAACGGGACTTGTAAAGCAACGCTTCTTAACCCGCATAAATTCATTGTTCATTGTTCAATTCGCAGTAGAATCTTCAAAGTGAAAGATAAACTTAGCAAAGAGTAAGAAACTGGTGTGATTTATAAGATCTGCTGCCGGAACTGCGACAAATACTACTTGGGACAGACTGGAAGAAAGCTGGCACAAGGCTACACGAACACAGCCTAGCCATTCGTCGCCACGATCTGAACTCCCTGATGTCGGTGCATATGGATGCCGAGAACCATCAATTCGACCTAGAGCATGCCAGCATCCTCGGAAGGGCTAAAAGCCGGCAAGCACTTGAGTTCATTGAACCCTGGCATTCAAAGCAGAACTCGGTCAATAAGCACTTGGACATCGAAGTCGCTTACGAGGCACTGCGAACCAGGCCCCTGAAGCCGCACTGATGTTGTGCTTCGTCAGACAACGAAACGTTTGCACATTAATCACTCAGCTCGAAGAACAGCTCAAAATCTACATCCACACCCCGAACTACGGATATCCTCATTTATTTCAAACGTAACAGTACAAACTTGGGACAGAGAATAGGCAAAACGAGATGAAACGCCTAGTTGCGTCATATTGCTTAACCGATCGAGCGATTTGCCACTCACGCACTTTGCACAAATTACTATAAAGCAACTGAAAACCCAGGTTAAGTGCGTTAGATATACGAAATCTATGGATAAATGCAATCCATTTGTGGACATTGGACGGACACAAGAACACTTTCCAGCTATAACGACTAGACACGCAACTGTTAGTACCAGTCAGTAGCCCGGACAACTTAAACCGAATTGCCGACTGGAAGACCCAGTATCCACCATGGCTTATCAATGGATACTCTGCCGACAGGCAGATGACAGTTAAGAATGTTTGTTTACAGCCCCTGAGTGGTGTGCTGGTCCCCACTAAGTCAGTGTATTTCGCGTGGGCGAGCACTCCGAACATTCCACTGATCCACACCTACTGTGTGCACTAGACGGATGTTCACGCAGGAATATTCATTTTGAGTGACGGTATTTCGGGTCTGACTTGTTTGTAGAGGAAGGTTAAAAGAGGGTTCAAAAGCAGCAACTTTTCTAAATGAGGTCGACAGCGGTGCGACCTCAATGGTGTGGGCGCATTAGATGAAGTGTCCGTCTCGTGGATAGAAAGAGTATGTGGTGAGACGGGCCTATGGGTACGCGTTGTGTTGCGGAATGAAACGGGCATTTTGGACACAGCATAATTTGAAGCGAGCGTCGGCTATATCAATCAATGGAACTGTCTGCAATGCGGGGATAGTTTGTGTTGACGTCAAGCTCCATGACCATCTTCGCTATTTTTTGATATTTCAGTCAGGTTGTTGATCGCATCCAGCATTGCAAGACACTTGGGATACTTTTCGCTGGGTCGCAGTGAACAAGATTTAATTGGAATCAGTTCATGACTCAAATTGGGGTCGGGTTTCACCATTCAAACACTTGGTTGGTGATTTGTCTTACTCCCAGTGGAGAGCGTATCCCGATAGCTCGTTAGCCTAGTAATAAAGCCATCAGTCAGAAAAAGCGATATCCCGGGTACAATGGTTACCTCCGGCTCTCTGCATGACAAGTTAACAGAAAGAACCAAACCGGGTATGGAGCGAGGATGAATCGGTCATTGAAACTGTCATCCGTGTCGTATGAAGCAATAGTAACCGGATCGAAAGAATCCTGAAAGGTGCAGCTAGATTGGTTGATCACTGATACCTCAGTGAAAACGAAGTAGCAAGAGATGTGGGTCTGCTTATTTGGTTTACTGGCCACAAATATAAAAAAGTAGATCATGGTATGATGCGAATTATCTGAACAAAATTGTGTACTGTACAAAGCCAACTAGAACTCGCCTTCCCCAAAACACGAAACAGCAAATAAAATGCCTGTTTACATGCTTAAGTCACGGTGAGCACGTCACAAGTAATAAGCGAGGGACTCAGGTCCGCAACACGGGACAGGCAAGTACGAAGTGGTAATTAAAGTCCTTCCAATTCATGTTGGTCCTAAAATTACAAGTGTAAATCATTTGGCCAACTGGATAATGATCGATTATAATGACTGCTTAGCCTATCTAGCAGGTCTTGTTTTAAACCGTGCGAAGAATTAGTTGAACAGCTCAATAGCAACGATGTGTTGCAATTTCTATTGGCTCTATTTACGGAAATGCGAGGGTAAATCAAATCTCGCTAAATGTCAGTATTAGGCTATAGATACACGATCAGTATAGAAATCAGCCGAAGACCTCGATCAAGATCACGGTGTTCAGCTAAATCTGTGTTTGCATAATAATTGGATATCATTGGGTTACGGCACGAGGCCCTGACAACGGTGTGTGAAATCCTGGGCTCGTAGTTCAAAAGAAACGAACGTTAGCTGCTTAACTAAACCGGACTGCAACCAGCCCAGATGAATGACCAAGAAGACATGAAAACGAACGGAACGGAGCTGACTTCCACGGCTGCCGTTGAATTTATTGGTAAACCCCCGTACAACAAGTAGAGGACGATGTACGTCCCTCTTACCACAATTTCATGAACAGGTGAGGTCGCTCTGTTGAGCCAAAAGACAAGTGGAGCTCGTTCGCTTAATAAACATGCCACCCAACCCAGCCAATACTTTAGCAAAACTCCCATGCTTCCGTTGAATTTTAGCAAATTGCCCGCCTTTAGCTGCTGTCGAGGAAACCCTGGATCCGCGAGACGCAGCGACGTCTGAAGAGGAGGAGGAAGTGGAATCGAAAGAAAAGCGGACAGATGAAGAGATTCGTAATGCTATCCACCAGGATGGTGAGTTTGGATATATGTTGATGGAGTATAAATCAGGGTAGATTTGATATAGTCCATTGAAACAGTGATCTAAGAAATACAGGGTAAGGCGTTTACGCTCAACAAAAAAAGAGTAAAATAGATAACATTTTTGAAAAGCACTATAAGGGTACAAAAACGCACTCAATTTATAATAACATTCGATAAAACCAACTTTGGTGTTAGGTGCCTCTTCGATTTCAGAGGTAGGTGCCTGAACTAAATGGTCCCGGTTCGTATTAGACCTTACACTGACTATGGTAGCTTTTAGAGGGCCTCCGGTGTTTCACCACCTTTCCTTGATTCTTGTCTCAAGAATGTCCTACAAGTGATAATCCAACCAATTGAGGCACGAGATGACGGAGTTAAGTGTCATGAGTTATGAGGTCGTGAAATTTGTCAAACACCCATTCCTGTGTAATTTGAAGCTTGTTTTATATCACAATGAAAAATGGTTTATAACGGGTAAAAAGGAGTGGTTGGCAACTCTCGTGGGATGACCGGAGGGATGATCATGAAACCAGTAAAAAAGAACAGGAAAAGAGGGAAAAATGCGAGTATTAAGTGACTCACGGCTGTTGCGGGGAGCTGCTGGGCACATCGTTTGATTTGCATTAATTCGTGTTCCAAGTGAAACGGACTATAACATCTAATGCAAATGATACAGTGTGGTTAAGGCGTTTTTTGGAAAATCCATGAGATTGAGGCAAATATGAGGTGAGCTGGAAAGACGTTCCTCGTACGCGCTGCGGAAGAGGCGACAGTTTTTCTATCGACAGTCAACTCGACTATAGTGTGTAGCTAGTTTGAGTTTATCGCCTCTTAGTTTTGTACCATGGCGGTCGCAACAGATCGTTAAAAGGCGTGATTGGAGCTCGCCAGTATTAGGTAGGCCACGAGGAGAACTCCTTGCAGATGCCGATATTCACCGCTGTATAATCTCATGGCTTGTAGTCTGCATTGGTAGGGGACGAGCAACAATACCCCAACGAATTTGTTGTTTTTAGTTGCGGAACCTCAAGTGCATCAAAATCGCGTTTGCACCAGGTACGCCAGGCTTGGATCGCGTATTCCCCATGAGGCCTCACGTAGGCGTTCAGAATTAGCGGAAAGATAGATGGAACGAACTTTCCGAACGCCCTTCGTACGAGGTCAAGTGCTGACGGGCTCTTCCCGATGCTTTACCGTCCTGTTCCGAGCGGTCAAGGTCATCCTGCACAAGTAATCTGAGATCGCTTTCCTGGGGGTACGTTGTAACTGCTGGTCCCCAAGTTCATACTCCCGGGTAAGCTGATGGCGTATGCTCAAAACTGCATTTTGCCACGTTGAACTGGAGCGGGTTTTTGGATGACCACATATAAGCGCTGTGGTGATCTCTCTACAGTGCCGTGTGATCATCCACTGTCTTGATGTCATGACCGATCATGGCATTGCAAACATCAGGAAGTCTGACTGGAGCACACTGGAAAAATCGTAGAGGAAGACTAGAAATAAACGTGGTCCCTGCATCGATCCTTGGGGTACAACACACTGGATTTCAATTGGATAGGAAATAGAGCAGCGGACTCTCAGATTCAGCTGAAATTGAATGATGGAGTTGCCTATCCTACCCAAGATAAGCTCACCGATCCCGTAGGTTCGAAGTCTGTAAAGGAGAATGCGGTGGTTCAGGCGATCGAACACTTTTGAAAGGTCCGGTCTTACGGAAAAGCCCATAACTTCCTATTTCTTTTTAGTTGCTTCATCGCAATTAAATTATAAGCCGTATAGCTAAGCCATCAATCCGGAAAAGCACAAGGCGATCGTCTCGTCCTCTTGGGACTCGTCAGTGGTGCGCACTCCTTCCCACTTCATCCGTCGCTGACGACGCGGTTGATAACCAGTCCCGAAAAATTATTTCTAAAGCCTTAAGAAAAATATGTGTGGCAGGGTTGGATGGGCCGTCAAAGATGCAGTTGCTGGTGGATCAGTTTTTGGCCGGCCTCCCACAGCCAACCGCGGAGCGCGTTCGGATTGCAAATGCTACTCGGAAGATGCAATTGGAGGAGTTGGCGCAAGTTATTCGAGACCTGGGCGAGGCACCACTAGCTGCGCTGAAGGAAGAGCCTCATGACAATGTGGAACGGATGGACAAATTGGAACGGATGATGGAACGGCTTACGGAAGGCATCAATGGGCTTCGCGTTCAGCGTTATTGCCAAGAAACCACAAGTAACATGGTGGTTGCAAGAAATTTCGAGTGCGTAAACGTTGAAGCGTGAGAAGGATTTCGGTGACATGTCATTTCGTCTGCTTAATTTTCTATCATCGTCAAAATGTTTCTTATCGAAGGTAAAACAAAACACGTTTCTTTTCGTATCGATCTTTCAGGTTGCTTCATAGCTCTTTAAATCCGAGTAAGCACCTTCCAAATTGAAACACTTGCAGATCACCATGCTTAACTTTCAAAGCCACAATTATCACAAGCCTTCTCATTGATTAGGCTGCACACCGTAAGCAGGGTAGCACAATAAAAATGGAGGTTATAAAATGTAACAGTAGCAAAGGAAGTATATACTTAAAGTACTTGCGTACCCTGCATACCCGATGGAGGCAAATGAAACGCGCCAGGTCAGGAGTCGCATTAATCATGCGTAGGCAATAATTTGAAACACGGCGTCGTTGACAAAGTGACATAAGTTGAAATGGAGTGTTTCGGCACTGTTCGCTCTCAATACTGCCCTCTAAGACTGATTTCGTCCACGTTCGGACTCATCAGGTAAAGATAACCATAGATGGAAATGGAACCCTGGGCCAGTGGTTGATGGCTAACGCTTCGCCCATTAGGTCATTGAGCTCCGTCAGCAACGTTTGTCTCCGAATCCTAGCAATGAATTACTCAGAACAGATTGATGGCTAGTACCCCACGAATGCCACAGTACACAACAGCGTTCTCAATGGGAGCGCAGTTGGTCTTTCGCTGCGACTGTGGATAACCGCAAAACGGCCGAGCCTAAGAACGGCGCGCGAATGACCTGCGCTGTACTGCATGCGATGGGAGCCATGTTTGATTCAGTCTCGATCCACGCTCCTTCTAACTGCACACTATCCATGCGAAGTGGGAGGTAAGCGTACTGTGTTTGGGTCGTAGCTTGCTCCTTAATTGAATCACTCGTTAAGCCTAGCACAGCCATGAAGACCGTACACCGCGTCTCACCCAACAACTATTAGTAGCTTCCTAGATGCAGCAACAAGCGTGACCGCATCGAACGGGTAAGCAATCTGCCGGTGATTGTATTGAGCGCAGGCAGACCTGACAATCGAGTAGGGGATAAACCTCAAATACGCGGCAACATATCGAGTATACTACGACAGAGGCAACAAGACAGCATGCATTGGCAGTCTGAACACCAAAGCTCACATATCAGTAGGCACTGGTATGACATATGCTTCTCTTCCTACACCGTCATTAAACACCGACAACTTATATCACTAGGAAAGAGAAAAATTGGGAGCAACTAAGTAGTTACCGTTAAAAAACTCCGTTAGTCCGTTATTGAAGGCATACACTGTAGCAGATCACAAGTTAAAACCACTACCCCCTCTCACACTGCTCTGTCCTTTGCTTTCTTATTAGCTCGACGCCTTGTAGCAGCGATCGTGACGAAAGCGGAACAGAACTTGGAAGTTTATGAACAATGGAGTAAGTCTAGCGCGAGTACTCTAGGGAGAATGTAAACCCTGTCGGCGCCTAGGCCACTCTCTGTTTCGATGAATGGACTCAAATGACCACAAGGAATGGCTGACGACCCTCATTTCGGACTAGCAATGCGGTAGAATTTCGTGCTTTTAACGCATGGAGTGTGTAGAATTTCAAGTCAACCTGTTCCGCGTTGATTATACCGAGCATGCGCCATACTACAAGCGGGTCGATTAGCCAACGCCAGCCTTTATTCCACACGAAAACAAATCGTAAGTCATTAGAAACAGACTTAATCATGAACGAGTGCGCTAGTATGAGGGACGCCATGCAACATCGGGTTAAGTTGGGTTGGTGTACCCAAGCCACTTCAGTAGCGCACACACACACACACTGGGGAGGTTGTGAGTTGGGATTCAGACAAACGCAACTGGCCTGAAAATCAGAACAAAGCCACAGCAGACTGTCAAAAGCGCGCGACTTAGAGCAGGCATCCAGAGAAGTGTATATGAGAACTTATTCACTAGGAGGAACCTAACCTGACGTGCAAACATTCGGCTCTATGTAGGAATAGGAACCACATGACTAATGGACTGTGTGTGGACTGGAAGCAACAGACACTTGTTGGATAATGAACAATGATTTATCACGAGATAAAAGCAAGTGCTTGACACATCCCGTAGGATGGTTGAGGTGAATAGGATGAAATCAAAATATGTCTGGGTCATCTATCGAACGTCTGCCGAGATGAATACTTTGAAAAATGACATCAGTGTAAAATTAAAAAAATCGAGTATAAACGTTCAGAAATACACTGCGGTGCAGTGGTCGTTGATGTCAGGAGTGAGAAAAGTAAAATATGTTCGCACACTTGGGTCCATTTGATACATAAATTCTGTACAAAACCATGTTTGGTGAAATCCACAATTGAGGAGTTTAGCCAACAAAGTGTTGGGAGCTAAAAGCAATATGTAATCATTTTTTGAAAACGTCCAAGGTAGGGGAGGATACAACTGAATCTGGGAGTGTGTTCCAGGGTTGACAAACCCGAAGGAAAAAGTAATTTCGTCGACACTAGACGTCTATATTGTTCCTTCAATGTTAAGCAGTTACCGCTGAGCTGCGTGTTATGGCTAAGTTTCAGCAAATGGTCGCATACGTGGTTGGGGTCACGCAATATCTAATACGCTAATAGGAGATCTCCGCGCAGCCTTCGATAGCGTCCGCTGAAAATTCCCAGCAACTTCAGCCTTCGGTGGTAAGAGTGATAGCGCAGGCCCTTTACACTCTTTGTTGCTCTTCG